CCGGCCACGGTGGGATTCGAACCTACGACCTTTGGAATACTAGCCCAATGCTCTTCCAACTGAGCTACGCGGTCAGGACGGTTCGAGTAAGTGATATTTCGGAACAGAATCTAGTTCCTTCGATACCAATGTATTCTATAAAATTCATATACCAATGTATTCAAAAAATTCATATTACTAGAATACATTGGTATCGAAGGAACTAGATTCTGTTCCGAAATATCACTTACTCGAACCGTCCTGACCGCGTAGCTCAGTTGGAAGAGCATTGGGCTAGTATTCCAAAGGTCGTAGGTTCGAATCCCACCGTGGCCGGGCATATTTTTCAAGCTCGCCCGGTGTGGATATACACTCAGAGTAACACCACAAATATCATATTCACCTGAGTACACTACACCAACACAGAAAAAAAAAATCGTATTTTTTTACGTGTGTTTAAATACGATTTTTCTCAGTGGCCAAAAACTCTATAATAACATGCACTTATGTTTATATAATAAATAGAGTTATTTACTACCAAAAACACACTCCTGTCAAGTTCTTATAAAAAATATATAAAAAATAAAGATATAAAACAAATTGTTTTGTATAAAGCCTTATTTTGCACTCTTTGCTACAGCCTATTTCTAGTAATTGTGTTTCATTTTGTATTTTCTAGGTAAAAATTGTGAAAAGAGTGAGAGTAAAGATCTTTTTCTATTGTCGCAGGTAATTGAAATTTTGCAAGCTAAGCATTAATTCAGAAATGGTTTTGAGGGCATCCAGCAAAGTTTTTGAGACCAATTGGGAACAGGCTTACATGAAGTACAATTTGGCTTTAAACATAAATGAAGTATACACGGCAAAAAACGCTCAGGTTGATGCAATATTGATGAAAACAGGATTGAACAATGTTTTGCTGCCCACATTGTTCACAGTTGTCAACAATATTGAACAATATTGTTATACCCGATTCAGGCTCAACAATACTGTTCAATGTTGTTGAAAAGTGTGAACAACGTGGGCAGCAAAACATTGTTCAATCCTGTTGAGCAGCGGGTTCGGCGTTTTTTGCCGTGTATATACCTACCAAAATTTTAGATGATCTTCTGAACTAACACATGCATGTTTTCTAACACATGTATAAAACTGGCGGGTATTCTCTTGAGTGATATATCTTATATCTTTCAAGGATAAAATGTCTCAATGAAGATTTGGATTACTTTAATTTTATCTAAAAGCCATAAATTTTCGCTGAGTTTCTGCAAGCACAACATGAAACAGGTTTCCCCTACGGATTTAAATTTTGCACAAAATGGACTTATAAAAACAGCCGATATGGATGGATGCTGCATGAGTGCACAAAACGTTCTTGTTTACCATTTTATAGTTAAATTGTAGTTAACTCTATACAATACGCGATTTTGATTGGTTATAACTTTCACACTAACTATAGTTAACTTTAGCTACCTTTTTATACAATTGGCCCCAGTTACGGCTAGTGAATCCGCAATAAGTCAGTAACGTGAGAATTTAATGTTTACTGCAGAAAGAAGTGAATATCAGCAACGTGGTTAACGTCACTAAAGAGGTGAAAAAGTTGTCTGTTTCAAGACACCCTCTTCAAGCTGGAGACATTGGCAATATCGCTACAATATTACAGAAAATTGTCGCAGTGAAACAGAAAGCTAACAAGGTTGGTTATATATTGAGTAAAATTACTCAAATTTAGAGAGCAAATTTACTAACATTTTTGAGTATAAGAAAAATTGAGTAAATTTGAACTTTACTAAACATTTTTATAATTTTACTTAAAATTTTGAGTAACTGCATGTGGGTGCATTATTTTACTCAAGTTTTGTAGTCAAAATACTCAGTGAAGTTGTCTAATATACAGTAAAAGTTTCGTCGTCATATAGTAGCATAGTTTTTCTTATGCTTTTGCGTATGCATATATTTATAGACTTTTGACGATTTCTGCACCACAATAAACAATGTACTGGATGCCAGCAAAGAAAGTGTCTTCCGAAGTCAACAGGATACGAATTCTTCATCAAGGTATGATAAGGATGGACTGAAGTATTGTATATGATTGCGTTGGTTTAAATGTCTACAACAATCCGAATGATGAATTGCAGGAACTGAAGGACTTCAGTTATGAGGAGCAACATGCAGTATGGATATTGTCTTTGATATGTAATTTCCCATGAAAAACAAACCCTTAAGAATAAAAAAGAACAAATAAATAAATCAAACTGATACAGTGCATATATATATATATTTATTTAGTTTTATTTTAACACTTTACAGGATTGTCAAAGCTTTAAATGACTTCCTAGAAACATTAGTCATCGATTCAAGTGGAAAATTTGAAAAATTCGAAAGAAACTACGATGCATTAGTACAGGCTGTACAACCACAAACATTTAGCGGGCTAACATTTTCTGGGATTGTCAGAAAATCCCATAAGTCACTGTTGTGGAATGGCCGCAGCGTTCCACAAGCTCCATCTTCTTCGATCAGTATTCCAGGAACTATATTTAACGAATCAACAATTACGAACAGCTCCAGACAACAGAGGATCATTTTTGTATTGTATAAGGAAACAAGTTTTTTCAAAGTGTCCTTGGAGGACACCAAGAAGACGTCAAGCCGTTTGAATAGTTTTGTCATTGCTGGAAGCATTAAGGGATTATCAGTTAGGAATTTGAGCAATCCAGTTAAGATCGCTCTAGTACAGAGTGTCGCGCGAGGAGACACGAACAGTACTTTGTGTTCATACTGGAACTTTACCCTGGGGAATTGGTTACAAGAAGGTTGCTTGTTTAGAAGGGTTCTTAGTGATGGCAGAATCCTTTGTAACTGTAATCATCTTACCAATTTTGCGATGTTGATGGTAAGTTTATTCATTTATCTTCGTCTTTAAATTTTTGATAATTTGACTGCATCTAAGACCCCGTTCACACGATACCGGCAGAGTTTGAAAACGGAACGAAATTCTTACGTTTAGGAGTTTCGTTCACACGATGCCGGAAAATGAAAAAATGTGAAACCGTAACACTATAACCGTAAGAGTTTAAAAACGGTATGCTAACCGTAAGAGTTTGAACACGGGACGAAATTCTACCGTCAAAATGCCGTGTGAACGCCTAACCGTAAGAATTTCATTACGGTTAATGTTATGCAAAATATTTTGGCGCGAATTCAGTTAAAATAATGAAATTAACAAAAATTGTTGTTAGGTATTACATCCTCTCAATTTTATTTGGTTTGTGCAGTATATTGTCGATAAATTGACAATATTTAGACGATATTTAGACGTGGACAATATTTAGAAGTAGGGATAATTCGTCATCGGTCCATATATGTAAAATAATCAGAATAATAAACTTACTTTCAAACACTCATTAATAATTCATAAGCTTAGGGAGTGGTCATTATTTATGGGGAGGGGGGGGTTGGGAAATGGGAGGGGGAGGGCAAACGAAGTTTTACCCTTATAAATAGGGGGGGG